TAGGAATGTATGGTAAGCCATGTTACATTAGCCCCGAAAACGTAAAATGGTGACCATGACCACTCTGCTCATGTTACACAGCCTGATTAGGAAAGTGAAGCAGGAATGGTTTTTGATTATTATTGCGATAACATCGACAACTCTTTACTGTTATTATTAAATTTAACGACGGGAATATTGATACTACGACGTAGTTGCGTTGAATTTCAAAAATGTTATGAATAATAAGATTTTAAACGCACCTAGGTGTGCGTGTTTTGTTTCGAAATAAGGTATTTAAGGTTATTTTGAACTGTTCAATAATAATAAATAACAACAAAGAAGCTTCCGCATTCCTTATATAGGCTCGATAGTGTTTTTATATGTCGAAGAAACTGCACTTACTTTAAAATCGGGTTATCGCTGCTTAGTGCATGCAACGGAATTGAGTTCATAATGAAGCAGAGACTTAAGAAAAAAGTAAAGTAACGGCCTATATATGTCTCAGCTGGGCAAAGATCTCCTCTGTACGGAGAGTATTAGGGCGAAGTCCACCACGAGGTCCCACTGCGGATTGGCGGATTTCACATATATTCGAAATATATATTTTTTATTATTTAAAAAAAAAAGAAGATTAAATATGCGCTTGATAGGTCAGCGCTATAAAATTAACAATTTCATTGGTGCCGGCACCGGGGATCGAACTCAGGTTGCTTGAGTATGTTAAATTGGAAGCAAGAGCCCGGACAATGAGCTATGTAGGCTATACAGAAACTTATTTCGATTGAAACCTTCCACGCTTAACCCCGTTTAAACCACTGGTTGATCTCCCGGCGCAGTGCGCATCAGTAAAATAAATGTTAAATAGCCGTTAAGGCCGTTTATGTTTGCTAACGCTTCAAAGCCCGCGCCGCCAGCGACAGACAGACATGATTAATTCGAAAACTGTACACGAGGGCCATTAGAAACAAATTTACTGCGTTCCAAATTTGAAGCGGTGCAAATAGGCGGTCTAAAATTATCGTTGTCATGCCTCAACTATTCGTTGCGTGGCGTTTAGTCGGGACACACGTTCGAATCCCAATGGCGCGCTGTTTTCCTGTTTTTAGGGTTCCGCACCCAAAGAGTAAAACGGGACCCTATTACTAAGACTCCGCTGTCTATCTGTCCGTCTGTCACCAGGTTGTATCTCATGAACCGTCGTAGTTAGGCAGTTGGAATTTTCAGATTTCATAGATGATGTATTTCTGTTGTGTTGTCGCTATATCAACAAATACTAAAAAAAATATTTAAGTGCGGCTCCCATATGATGGCATGATATTTTGCCGTTTTTATCCATAATGGTACGGAACCCTTCGTGCGCGAGTTCGACTCGCTCTTGGCCGGTTTTTTATAGACCGTTTTACAATTTGTTAACTTTTTCGGGTCTTTACCACTTTTTTGTGGTCCATTAAGCATTATACCTGTTGTACCGGATCAATACTCACGTAAGAATAGAAATGTACACGGTCGTGTATTCACAGGGTTGTGTATTATACAACACATACACCACACATACAATATGTATAGATACAACATCAGATGATTTGTGGGTTCAATGCCGGCTTGAAACGGTGGTCTAGTGGTTACCTCATGCAACGGACGAAACATATTATAACATTAATAATAAATCGCAATAGTCACCTGTCGGAACGGAACAAATTTGGCCATACGCGGATAGTAATAGCTATTTCTATCTAGCCTACCAATGTGGGAAGAGATTGCTAGAGTGTAGCATGTGTCTATAATCATTTGCTTATATGTCACGGCTTTGAAAAACCGGCGTGTTTCACTGTTGGAAAATGTTCAACAAATACAGGAGACACTCCCCACATGCCAATGGTGCATAGCGTAGCGGCATACGGAATACTAGAACGCAATTTCGCCCCGTCTTTTATTTCTTGGCGGGGCCTTCAGACTTTATTGAGATCGAAATGCGGTTGGTAATACTTAACCGAAGAAGATCCGAGGGACGCCTCGCAGTAAACGGGGCACATGCATCCTTGCGGAATCGTAAGCCGCCACAACTAAATAAGCGTATATAGAGTCGTTTAAGTGTTTTGAAATGAGAAAGAAGGTTTTTTTATATCCATTTTCATCACAAGCGTATACATAATGATAAATGTGAAAAACCTTGAGATATTTTATAATTGCATGAACAATATATATCACATTATATATATGTCAACTAGCGACCCGCCCCGGCTTCACACGGGTGCAATGTATTATACATATAAACCTTCCTATTGAATCACTCTATCTAGTAAAAAAACCGCTAAAGATCCGTTGCATAGTTTTAAAGATCTAAGCATACATAGGGATACACAGACAGCGGAACGTCTTTGTTTATACTATGTAATGATGTGAAATATATTGTTCTTAAAAGAAACAACATATTTCTGCGTAATTGATCCGAGTCAAGAAGCAATCCGTACTTTATACGGTTACACTTCAAAAATGCCAATCATTATTTAGACTAAAACGCAATAGTTTAAATAATACAGACGGATAATTATTTCTTATGTGAAAACATGATATCGAACTGATGTTAAATAATTGCCGCCACCCATGGAGACCTGCACGACCTGACGGGTTGCAGATGCGTTGCCAATGTTATAAAGACACCGGGCACCACTTACCCACTACACGAAAAGTAGAAGTGACATGCAACGTTATCAATATTAAATCAACAGATAAAAACTTGCAATCCCAATTCAACTATATATTCGTTTTCTTTTTAAAGAGGCAAACGAGCGGTTTACCTGATGGTATGTAATCACCGCCGCCTATGGACACTTGCAAGATCGGAGGAATCACAATTGCGTTGAAGGCCTTTAAGGTAGGAGTAGGCTCTGTTGTAGAAGGTCCATAAGTCGTAAAAATCAATTTGCAATCTCAATTCAGAGCCGTGATAGCTCAGTGTCCGGGCGCTTTTATCTTAGTATACTCGAGCAACCTGAGTTCAAATCCCGGTGCTTTCGCCAATTAAACTGTTTGCAATTTTACATGCTCAGCGGTGGAGGAAAACATCGTGTGTGATATGTGAAATCTACCAATCCGCAGTGGGGTAGCGTGAATTATGACACCCTCTGTACCGAGCAGGCATTTGCCCAGCCGTGGGACATAAACAGACTTTACTTTGTTGCTTTAATCTCAATTGAAAAAAATAAAAAAATAACCGTTGATTTTCACCAATATGGCCAAATAAATAATATACCTTGGTAGTTCAACAGGACATAATTATTTTACACCATCTATGCCCAAGAATCCGAAAAAAATTGTACCAGCTCAACTAAGCTGCAATTCTTTATGTTAACATCTTCATTAGGCCGGAACAATGTGAGATTAATGATCGTAAACGTCGGATGTTATCTTTACGGATTTCTTAAATTGAAAGGTTGGGGAGGGAGTTCTATGAGGGCGAATATAAAGAGGCTAGTTGAAGCTGTCTGTCAGTGTATATCTTAGTTAAAAGCTTTGTGCAATGTCATGCGGGACATGGAATAAATAATGGAAATGGAATAAATATGAAAAGGATCCAGAGGTCAGAAGTTGTAATGTCGTACAGGCAATGTTTGGTTGTGAATTCGCACCCCGTTTTAATTTCTTGTCTTCGGTTAATATATTTGTCTTACATCCGAGTTCGATACATGGACAAGACCCAGAACTATGTCATTTATGGGACCAGAATCAAGTCTTGATTTTGCCTTATAAATAAGACTCGAGCGCTTTTTTCTAAATAAAAAAAATCCTTTTTTTATAACGCATGCCCGATATCAGGTCAATAGCATTTTTTACTTAATTTGTATGACAGCAATTTTAGAACTTACCACTTTTTTATATATTATTTTATTTTTCAAGTGTATATGGTTGACTTATCACGTGCTCAGCGGTGAAGGAAAACATCGTGAGGAAACCTGGATATTTTCGTAATAAAAAAAAGAAAAAAAAATTTTTTGAAGATTCTTTCCATTATCTAAATTCGAACTTCAAAGTGTAAAAAATTGCAAAGTCTTGACTATGCGAGAATTGGTTCTAATCATAATTATGTTTTCTAATTTAACATAAGTCGGAATTTATAAGTTTCAATGAGTACATTTTATGTGCACTAGACTGCGCAGATGTTGCAATGGATTAAGTGGCCGTACGCCACATGTTATTTCATAAATCACAAACAGTCGTTACGAGTTTGACTTTACTTAATTTCTATTTAGGTAGTCGATATGATGCAAAATGATAATGCCGTTTATAAGATTTCTTCTTTCAAATACTCTTGGATTAGCTACTATTTCCCTGAAGCGGTTAAGAGAATAATGTCCAGTCAAGTAAACTGTACATTTTATAAAAATATTCTAGACTCTATACATATAAATAACATTAAATAATGGAGACTGTAATACAGTAGGATATAATTCGGCTCGCAAATAAAGAACATTGGGCAAGATGCAAATTTATGACGATTTTGTCAATGCGCTCTCATTGTAGTTGATCTTTTGCTTTATTCACAGTAATGAAAAAAAAAATCGATGGCTTTTCTGTTTACGCTCTTGTTCAAACATTTTCACACAACTCCGCAACAATATTTTGTGACGTCCCGATATTAATGTTTTGATTTAAAGCTACACGTCGGATATTGATGGTATAAAAATATACATCGTGTATATTGTATAAATACTATATCATTTTGAAAATGGAACTGCTCATTTTTAGAATCAAAAAAGTACAATGAGAACACAACAGTGCCTTTTTTTGCGCAACAAAAATACAGTGTTCTGGAAATTAAGGAAAAAGTCAGAACTTGTTCACAGTTTTGTTTAGGGCCATCAATGTAGAGCTTTTAAAATCTGATCTTGTGAATATTGTCATAACTGCGGTCTTCCAATTTTGCGGCCCTCATAGATGACGATAGCAGATTGCCTTTCAACCTACCTGCTACATTTCGTACTGCAGTCTGTTTCTCCGTTTAGGCAGGGGATTCCTTAGCCCAAATCTATGAGCCCGGGACTACAGGGCCGAAAGTTGACTGAGTGCTTACCGTCCTGCTTCACCGTGTTGCCCAGGGGCACGCAGCCGGCCAGCCACACGTACAGGATCCACCTCAGCATCAGCCCCGTGCCGGCGCCCGTCTGCAGCTCGGGCTGGTTGTGGAAGTGCCTCGCGGTGGGCCGGTGTCGAGCCATCGTGCGTCCGCCGCACGCTCTAGCATTGGTCGACCCTCGCCTCACTCCAGGGTCATAAAGGGATCGGCTCACTGGTCCAGCTCACTACCAGCCCCACGCGTCCAGTTCATACTTGTCAGCGCCTGCAACGAACGTTTGTGTGACTTTTTTGACTCAACAAAGATTTATTGAACGGATAATGTTTGTGATCTCTTATGTTCCCTACGTATTCATTCCCTTCCACAGTGGTGGGGAGGGGGGCGATTGGCACTGACGGTGAGCGTTTCTGTATGTACCAGGTAGAATTTCTTTAATTAAATAAATGTCGCGAAGCACGGAACGGATGTTAAGCAAACTAACATTCATTAGCGAATGTAAACTAAAATTCATTAGAAAATTGAAATGTCTTATGAAATTGGAAATTCAAACACGTATTACTCATAATAAGCAGAGGTACAAATTACAAAGAGGCAAATACAAAAGAGAGGTCACTAAACATTATTTCTATCGTAATTTTTAAACATTTGAACGTGGTTAATCAGATTAATGATAGAAAGAAAGAAAAATAGGAAGAGAAAAAAAAGATAGAAAGTTCATAAAAGTATTTCTTTTTTTATTTTACCAATAAAGTGCTTCCGGCGTTTATTAAATTAAACACTACTTGTTTTAATCGGACCTAATTGAGTATGTGATTAACAACCTTCATTGTTTCGCATCTTCTTTAAAGCTCGTCGAAAGAGCTACACAATTTAGGAACAAAGTTTAGCATAATTAAAGATTATCAAAAGAACGGTTAACGGTAAAAGAAGAATTAACATATAAACAATAGTAATTAAGTAATGGCCGAAAAACAGATCTTTCTATTTAGGCCAATGGAATAGAGCTGCGAATGTTATTGGCTTTCAAAACTTGATATGAGGAAACGTCGACACGGCTTTTCGACATTTGTAACTTTTTGATATTTTAATTACAGTTAATGTAACATAAAATAAATAGACCATATTGTAAAGATTATATAAAAATATACGAAATATATTATAATCTCTTGATATTATTCTCGTTAACACCGATCTATACGTATGTACAAAATAGTTACTACGATGTACATAATTATATTGGGGTGCAAAATACAGTTTCAATCGGACATTTTGAGGATACGAGGTGATTCTGTTGTAACTGCCGTCACATGACGGAAATGTCAACATTTCTACAATTGTTAACATTTGTGATAGATACTACTAGCACTAATATTTAGTAAAGGAAGTTCAGTGGACTCGGCGGTGCAGTTGCAAAGGTATTGGCTTCGGCGCTGAGGTTCGTGGTATCAATTCACACACGGGAGAACAACAATAAAAACTTTATTGACATTTTGTGCGCACTCTTCTGGCTCGCGGGTTTGTGGTAGGGCCACGCGTTAAACTTTACTGTTGCACGAATGGGCAGGTCCGTCCGGGTAAGCACCACGACCATAGAGAACACCGGCGTGATGTGGAAGTGTTCTACTTCTGCGTTTCGCCTGTTAAGTGAGGTGGCCGCGGCCCACTTTATTATATGCTATACTTGTGGCGTTGTAGATGTGTTGCCACCTGCAACACATCTGCAACACCACAAGTTTCATTGGGCGGCGCTAATCAATTAACATCAGGTGAACCATAGACTGGCTTGCCACCTTCGCGCATAAGAAAAAACTCCACCTAGGCGAGATAAGGGCTAAGAATAATAAATAAGCTAACGAAAAGGAAAGAAAAAAGGGATAAAAACAACGTACACACCGCCCGCAATAAGGCTTTCATGCTCACTATACATAATTGACGACCCGCGCATTCAATATTTAGTTTTATTAATACTTAATACGATAATACACTAATACTTCCGTTGCGTGCATTAAAATATACATACGCTCGGCATTAAGTAAGGAAACAATGCCGTTATAAAATTCGAGAGCTTTCGTGAAGCTCAGCTGAAAGCTCCCCGCAAGAAAGCGTACTTAACGTGACGTGCGAGTCAAAACCAAGGCGCCGTGAAGTGACCTTAATAAATCGGATCGCTAAAACAGATCGCCCGATAAGACTTAGTGCGGACGGGGCGTCGCCTACACGAGGCCTTCGAGCTTTTCGCTTAGGGCGTTGACGACGTCGAACCTCGTGTTTTTATAATTAATGGCGGCTTAATTCGTGACTTATTTGATTTGCTCCTATTTCTCTCCCCGGCGGCGTACTGTAACAACGGGTTCGTGTCACGGAATCGGGACAAGTGAAAAAAAAATCAGATGATTGTTGAAACCGGTATAGTTTTCACGTACTGCAGATTGCTGTAACAATGTTTTTAATATATGAATAAACGGATAGACGGATCGAAAAAGTAGCTGTTATTGAGACCTCTAAGATAGCTTAAAAGTAAAGTAACAGCCTATAACTGTCCCACTGCTGGGCAAAGGCCTCCTCTGTACATAGGGTATCATAGTCCGCCACGCGGATTGGCGGACTTCACATATCTTCGAAATATTTTTTTGTTGTTATTTCGAAAATATGCTGGTTTTCTCACGATGTTTTCCTTCCCCGCGCGTGATAATTCAGAACTTAAAATTAACAATTTCACTGGTGCCGGCACCGGGAATCGAACTCAGGTTGCTCGAGTAAACCGAATTAAAAATATTTGTTTATTAAATAATATTATAAGAGACCCGTGTATTACTTGTGCTTGATTTTGATGAATCTAGATTTACAGTAAAATTAAATTTAAATGAGTTGTTGATGTAGGCACCTGTAGTGTATAAGTCCGTTCGAAATGTAGGGTAACCACGTATCGACAATCTGCACAGGAACGCGTTATAATATTAGGGTCGCGAAACTATACACGCAAAAGATGATTAATCCTTAACTGCTACAACTTTCCTAAGTTCTCGGGACATATTCCTCGCGTATCACACACGACGCGACCTCCGTGCCTGCGTAAATCACGCACGATACTCCTCCGAAGCCCCTACGGCGACAGCTCAAATCAACGAAACTGAACTTTAGCCCAACGCGATAGGGCCTAAGAAGGTCGCACAGTTAGCGTTGCCGTCGCGGGTCACGCGATCCGCTTATTGGCCGAGTAAAAATAACATTATTAAGCCCCGGTGCCCGCGCACGAAGTTACGACCGTTACCCCCAATTCAATCAGATTGCTATTATAATAATAAATTTCGCCGCTCCACGGCGTATTGCGGGTCGATGCAGCCCCGAACGGTGCTGGTTTGGCGGTCGGTACGTCCTAATTCGCGGGTTCAGATCCGGCTGGTACGTGATAGGAGTGCGGTTATAGGATAAGTCATTTGTAAACGACACTGTCTTGTATAGTGCTTGATTTACGGACGGCCTAGACGTCTGTTACAGAAAAAATAGGTCCTTACAGCTTTTTGAGACAAAATTGCATTTAAGGTTTATGGCTTACTCGGTTTTTTTGAAACGACTTTAAGGTGCTTCTCAATTTCTTCAAAATTTTTTTATCACTACAATCAAATCCGACGTTAAGTCGAACATAACTGCACGTTGAAGTTTATTTCAACCTCTTCCTTTGTAGGAAGGATCATTAAATGTAAACACGCAACATTGATAAGGACACGTGCCTTTGACACTGATACCAGATCAAACATAAAACGAATCACAACTAATTGCCTATCCAAACACCCGAGGCGTTTCTAAACACGTATATTTGTACGTGGGTTACAACTGCCTAACACATTAATTATGTACTACATCATTAATTTTAATCACTGCAATTAACTAACAAGCTCGCGAGAGAGCGAAATATTTGAATATAACAATGGCGTTACAAAACTGCCATAAAAATGATGTCCCTGTTATTGTTTTATAAGAAAATTTATCAATAGCGACCTGATGGTGAAAAGTCTCTACCGCCGTAGACACAGACAGGGGTGTTGCATTCATGCGTACATTCCAGATATTCAGGCGTCGACAACCATTAGGAACATATTCATGAATTTCAGGTGTTAATAACCATGATGAGCATCTTTAGAGGTGCCGAGATGTTACTAATATTTGTTATTAGCTCTATGGAGCGTTGCAGGTGCTAACAATCTTTATGTTTGACTCGAAAGGTACAATAGATTACGACAGTCTTTATGAGGATTGACTGTGTCAACTTATTGACGAGATTTAAAATCTAATGTCATATAAGTATGTTACATTCTAGCATCGCATTTGAAATCGTCACCAATTTTCATGTGCGGCTTCAGCTTTATTGAGTGGATCTTATTATGAAAAACTAAATGTTTTATTTTGTTTATAATTTTTTTTTAGTTAAATTTCTTTTACTATAGTATAGCATTGTCCTGTGTTTTAAGAGTTTTACAGACAGAAATTTCACTTAGTCACAATCTTTGGATCACAGCTCACAAATATAGTTGTCACGTTTGGATATCGAACCCACGACCCACGGCGCCGGAGTCAATACCTTGACGACTGCGCCACGGAGTCATTATGCGTCGAAACCAAACCGCTCTCTATCCAACCAATCAAGCCCGGTTGTCAGGCGGAAGGATAATGCATGCAGGCCCGCCAGCCCGACCCAATTTCTGTAATCACAGGCGCAACTGCAGCACAAAAGCTTCTACCGTGCATAGGCATAGTTCGCCTAAGCCTATTAGCGTGGCTCATCGGTAACTATGATACTATACAATCCGTTACGACCTCTATCCTTTAGAACGGAGTTGGAACTAAGTCCGGCGAGTTTGTTCCCACAAAAATATTCTACTCGTCGGAATCCTCATTTACTTGTTCCATGTCATATCAATCGACATTTATAAATATACTTGATAACAAGATGCAGGAAGATAAAGGGAGTAAATTGGACAAGTAGGTACCAAGGCATTTTTGCGCTCGGCGGCTTCTATAAACATTTTTAAGTTACGTTTGGTACTCAAAAAATCTCTAACGATTGGTAAAATTACTTAACAAGAACTATAAACAATTTACGGGAAGTCAATGGATGCAGGTGGCTCAGGATCGTGCTTCATT